TAAGTGGTTTCTTGATTAGAGTCCTCAGTAACTCTTCTAATGAAGCCATCAGTAGCCTTAACCATTACATCATCAATGGTGAAGTCATCAGCAACTTCCACCAAGTTGACCATAGATGGTTCTGAATAGTACGCATCAACAACAAGCAAGGGGTTAGAATTCACCTTCATCTGTTTTTTTGACTTATCAACAAACTTAAGTCTTCCCTTCTTGATGGCGTTTTGAACGAGATCCCTGAAAAGAAAACATTGAGACGTTTTATGGCCAAGAAAATTATGATACTTACAAAAACCTCTCTTTTTTCTCTGTTCTAAAGGAGGCATTATCATCTGGCCACCTTTGACTAATAAATCAAATATTTTGTCACATTTGGTGACGTCGAAGGTATAGGTCCTTTTAGGGAACCTATCGTTCTTCTATGAATCGACTGGATTCTTTCCATTCGACGGTGTTAAAACTTTACAGGCGTAAGGTGGGCCTTGCTTTAATTCATCAAGGTCAATTTCACTCTCGTCGAAGAAGGGATCTACACTAGTTCCTTGTTCATCTTTGTCGAACTCAACGTAGGCTACCCTTTCCTTCCTATTCTTGTTTGCCCTAACTTTCTCAGCCTTCAGTCGTTCTATTTGTCAAACTCTATCAGCAAATTTGGCCATATCTCTCAGGTACTAAGCATCCAATTTCTTTCTAATTAAGTAGTCGAGGCCACCAACGGCCATTTCGACCAACTCATGTTCAGGCACTTGAGTAAAGCACTTTGCCTTAAGAAATCGAAACCTATTGAAGTAATCGTCAATTGTCTCAGGGAAATTCCTCTTAATACTAGCCAATTCTTTCAAGCTTATCTTCGATTGTCCCATATAGAACTATTCATAAAACAATCTCTCCAATTGAGTCCAACTGTGGATCGAATTCGCTGGCAGTGTTGTAAACAAAGTAAAAGCATTTTTGGTGAGTGAACTTCAGAAGTACTTCACTCTTAGGTTTTCTTTGTTAGCAATTTCGCCAGCCTCTATCGACTATCTTACCACATGCTCAACTACGGACTCACTAGTATCCCCAGAAAACTTAGTGAATTTGGGGACTTTCCATCTAGGGGTAAATATGCCTGCAAGATATATTCAGATAAAGGTGATGTATAATTTGGCCTATGAAGGCCAACATTACCCCATTTTATGGCCATAATTCTTTCAACCATGGCTGCTAGGTTATTATTCGCTGCTACATCTTTGCGTCGAACTTGATTGATTACTTCATCAGCATTCTGGTTCCTATTTACCATTACTACCCTTGGTTCTCTCTATATTGATCTGTTATTTGTTTTCGGAGAAAAAAACTTAGATAGACACAAACATAACACTTGACTTTACAAACAATCAATCACAATTTTTTTTATTAATTAAAAAATAAAAATAAAATATTTTCTATCTTTCATTATCACAACCACACCATAATTCCAATTTTTAAAAAAATTAAATTTTAAATAAATTTAAAATTTTCTTTATTCTTATTGATTGTTCTAAAAGTAAAGATTTAAGTTCATTTTCATACAAGTTTTTCTCTTGTTTTCGATTAACAATTATATATTTTATAACGATTTGCTCTCCAACTGTCAATTGAATAACAAATTTTTTCTTTATAAAAAAAAATCCAAGACTATTTTTCTTTCTATCTTTGACCTCTGTCCCTCTTCTCTTCTCTTTAATTTCTATGTTACATGTGTGTTTTTTAAGATCCCCTACATAGACCAAATTATTCCACACCTCATGCATCCATATATACTTGATTGAATTCTTACTATAAAAAATCAACATAATTAACATTTAATACAAAACCAATAAAAACTACCCTATGCGGTTCTTGATGTAGTTTAATGTTATTATTACTACTATAATTGTATAACTAAATGTGATTTCTCCATCTACTCATGGCCCCAACACAGTACACATCTTTAAAACAAAGTGTACATGCCACAATGATCAAAATCCAACAAAGAGAAACAAACCAAAAAAGCTACACATTATCATCACGAAATGAAAATCAGAACAACAAGATAAGCAAAACAATGCAAAAATATTCAATCTTCATTGATACAAAATCATGAAAATGCTATCATTATCATATATCAACACAATCCTCGTTGATACAGAATCTTTATTTTTACTAACCAATGACACAAAATCATGTAATGCTATTATCATTGTGTACTATATCAACAACACAAAAGAGTAAAGAATACAACAAAGAAAAAACTAGACACTTTCATCATCATCATCATCATCATTATCATCATCATCATCAGATGACCCATCTTCAATCCTATTATCACCATCACCACCAAGATTAAGACCCATCATAATTTCAGCCAAAACATGAGGATCATTGTAATTCCTAACAGCTTGAACTATGCCCTTAACACGATTAACAGCATCTTCATAATCAAAAATCTCAGACCCCACAAACACACCATTACAGCCCAGTTGCATCATCAGCGCCGCGTCGGCAGGAGTTACAATCCCGCCGGCAGCAAAATACAAAACGGGAAGCCTGTTCACTCGCTTGGTTTCCGCTAGAAGATCATAAGGCGCATCAATTTTTTTGGCGAAAGTGAAAACTTCATCATCATCCATGTTACTGAGGATTCTCAGTTCTTTCTTCAAACACCTTATGCTCTTGACGGTTTCAGAAATGTTACCTGAGTTTGTTAACTCTCCTTGGAGTCTTATCATGACTGCGCCTTCTTTGATTCTGTGAAGTGCTTCTCCGAGGCTGCGAGCGCCGCTTATGAACGGGATTTCGAAATTGCGCTTGTTGATGTGATTCTGATCGTCGGCGGGAGTGAGAATTTCGGTTTCGTCGATGTAATCGACATCGATGGCTTGGAGGATTTGCGCTTCGACGAAGTGGCCAATTCTTGCGGCAGCGATGACGGGGATTGAGAGGGACTGTTTGATGGATTTGATGAGGGAAGGATCGGACATTCTTGAAACGATGAGTCTTCCGGCGGGGATTTGGTCAAGAACAGTGACTGCGCATGCACCGGCTTCTTCGGCGATTTTGGCTTGAGCAAGATTGGTGACTTGGAAAATTGCGCCGGCGCGGAGGGATTTGGAGAGGGCTATGATTGCGGTGGTGGGGTTGTAGACGGTGAGGGTGGTGTCTTGTGCCATTGGGAACAAGGTGTTTGAGAAAATGCGTAGCTGAAAATTGGAGTCGGAAATGTTTTGGTGATGGGAAAGAAGAGAAGTGAGGTGAGTAAGTAAACTAGAGTGAGAGAGAGAAAGAAGGATCTAGAAGGTTCAGTGTGGGTTCTGGAAAATTCGAAGAAGAAAAGAAGACTTGTATGAGTTGAAAAGGTGAGAGCAGAGTTAAAAGTTCAAAACCGTTTTTCCGATGGAATGTTCCGGTAGGGAAATTAGTTAGTTAGTTATTTAGAGGAATTAGTTACAGATTGTTACTTTGGAGTTTGTCATAGTTAGGTAATTTGTTATAGATATTTAGAGTTTGTTATAGAATTTGGTTAGTTAATTCTAGTTTTTTTTTAATAGATAAATAGTTTTATTAATTTTATATTTTGAGTGTCTCTTTTAATTTTTTATAATTATTAATAATATAAAAATATATTATCTTAACTAATTAATTTAACACATATAATGGACATGCCATATTTGAATTGCTCACAAAATAATCCGGCGGTTGGTTGATAAGTGTCATATAACAAGCATAAATGATAAACTAAAATTAGTTAAATTTGGTAACTTCCTGTGCAAGTAATCTAAGGCTATGAAAAATCAACCGAGTTGAAAATTGTAGTTTCAAGATACATAAATTTTTGTTTCAAGAAAAGCTCTAAGAATTTCATTAGGATTGAACATATCGATCTTTCTTTCATCGCTCAAATTTTTCTTCCTTTCTCTTCATTCTCTTCTTCATAATCGTAGTTGATTCCTATCCATCATATGTGAGATTCTTACCTTAGGTGTTGTTTCGGTTTTTGTCGCTTTTTTGGGGGTTTTCAATCTTCTTGCGTGTGTGTCATTCTCTAACTCGATTATTTGTAATATTTTTCCAGTTCTCCTTGCCTTTTCGATTTTTTCATTTCACTGACAATTTCTGTTATGGCAGAGTAATCAGAGTCCAACCTGCAGGTAGCAAACTCCCTGTCTGGAAACATTGGCCACATAAGCACCAACTCGGATCCCGAAATCTATCAACAAACAAAGAACCTACAAGCCAATATAGAGGATGTTAACATGTCAAAAAACAGATCCAGAAATATCATTAGAAGTCAGCAGAACTTGGGGCAATTAATAGTTCCACAAAGATTCATGAACTAGAATAGTAGAAAGAATCAGCATGAAGAGAGCAAATCAGAAGACCATAATCAAGAAACACCCAAAGGACCAGATTTTTTTTTCAACAAGGAAGAAGAAATTCAAGATCTTAGGAATAATAATGGTAACAATTGTTCGCGGTAAAATCGTCACGGAAAAACCAATTCACAAAGATTATATCCAAACGATGTTATCCAATATCTAGTGCAACCCAAAGAACCTGGTTGTCAAACAACTTGAGCCAAATATTTTCAAAATAACAATGGATAATATCGAAGATCAGACTAGAATTCTAAAAGGCAGTCTTTGGCTTTTCAAGAACTTGTGGTTAATACTTCAGGAGTGAAATGAGATTTAACCCATAAGCACCTTGGAAAGACTTTTCAAGAACTTGTGGTTAATACTTCAGGAGTGGAATGAGATTTAACCCATAAGCACCTTGGATTTATCATAACCGAATATTACAACTAATTCACATACATGATTTTACTTTTAAAAAACCGGTTATATTCATAACCAAATTTTATAACCAGTTATATCCATAACCAAATTTTATAATCGGATATGAAATTCCTAGCTGATTTTAAAGTTTACATTCAGTTTTCAAGTTAAAATTGGTTTTGAACATAAAAATCTAATTTTTAAAATTAAATATTAGTTTTTGCAATTGTTTTTTCAATTAAAATCGGTATTATCCAAAATTTTCAAAATGGATTTTATCAAAAAGGGATTTTTTTTTTCTTCATATTCTTTAAAAAAAAGGCTTAATGCATGTTTTAGTCTCTTAACTCAATTTAATATTTCACTTAAGTCTCTTAATTAAAAAATATTATATGTTAGTTCTTTAAAAACACTTATGTTTATGTTAGACTAATTGGTCTCTTTCGTTAAATTTTATAAAAAAAAACGTTAAGTAGTGCTAATGTGTTTATCTAGTTTGATATATTTGTTCGAAATGGTTTTTTTTTTATTATTTGAAATTTATTATAATAATTGGTTATTATTGAAACAAAATTGCTCATAAATAAGTTTAGTTTGATTCAATGTGCGTGCGTGCGTGTGTGTGTGTGTGTGCGTGTGTGACATGCTATAATTGAATTACTAACAAAATAACCAAGTGGTTGATAACTGTCATATAATAAGCATAATAGAGAAATTAAAATTAGTTAAATTTGGTAACTTCATATCTAAGGCTATGTTAACTTGAATTAAAAAGTTCTCAACACACTGCCTTAACTTAACTCATGTAACTAAGGTCAATATATATATATTACTCTTAAGCTTCTTGAACACTCTGGTTGCTACTCCTTTTACCAATAAATCGGCTATTGAATTTTTATTTTTGCAAAGTTTTATCTTTAGCTTTTTGTGGCTCATTTGTTCTCTCAAGTCATGAAATATCAACTCTAACTCTAACTGTTTGTTTCTTTCATGTGAAATAAGGTTTTTGTATCTAAATTTACGGTAAAAATGTTATCAATTTGCAATGCCATGGTATCACATCTTTTATTACTTAGTTCTTCAAGCAAGCTCATTGTCTTATGTGCACTAAGTGAATTTGTTATGTATTCAAATTCACGAGATGATAATGCCACCACCAGTTCCTTCTTTAAATATAAAGAGATTGGTGAACATGTATCATTCAATGGATTTTTATCAACTAGATCACCACGCCAATATGAATAAATATATCTTTTCAGCTGACATCTTTTGTCTCTATCTAGATCATTTATATAAAGGCAAACAATGATCGCTCATTTGTTGCTTTCCTTTTTTATGTACACACCATGTTCAAAAACACACTTTGTTGAGTTCATTTTACTTAGGAACACAACTATTTTTTTTTTTGTTATGAACCCTTAATGGATGTTTTAAAATATATAATATTTTCCTCAACAAGGCACAATCTCCACTGTTGAGCACAAGTTTCAACAAGGCACATCCGTCGGGCAGAAGACTCTCTTGGAGGAGAAGCTCGTGCATTCTCCAGGTGTCCTCTACGCGGGGACACGTCATCAGACAACTATCCACTTCTGAAAGAGATGGTCAGCCCACCTTCCAAAGATCACGGGGCAGTTGATCCAGGGCGAAGACCATGTGTTGGTCTTTACTACGCCACGTAGGACCAATGCAATGTAACTGTTGGCCCTGCGTTGGGGGCACATTATAAATACCCTCTTCCACTAGAGGGTCAGGTATTCTATTCATCACACCTTCTCTCTGTACTTACTCTCTCTAGTTCTGGTACTTACTTAATCATTGGAGCATCTTGCAGGTACACCCTTTTTCTCCTTCACAACACCAATGAAGGAAGTAACTCACGACGCGCGATAGGCTACTGATTCCTTTCTGATCAGGTAAGATCAGTGGCGTCGTCTGTAGGAATCTCTGTTTCCCCGTTCTTTCTCCTGTCCGAGCACAAAAGCTCAAGAACCAAAGCAAAATTAACCTTCAACTTCCATTTTAATCATGGTCAGCCCACGCAATAACAATGCTCCAGGATCTGCCTTTACCCCCTTCTCCAACGGGGACGCCCATGACCCCAACACGGCCATCCGCAACGAATAAGGTGACCACATGGACGGGCGCACCACCTCTCCCTCCTCAGAAGACGCGGCCTTATACATTTATAAAGTGATAGGGTTCGAATCCCAACTCCAATAATTTTCTACTTTTTCGTTACAATGAGTGTTGTCCTTATAAACACACACACACACACACATACACACACACACACACAAAAACACACACACACACACACAAACACACACACACACACACACACACACACACACACACACACACACACACACACACACACACACACACACACACACACACACACACACACACACACACACACACACATATATATATATATATATATACACACCTATCACCATGATTGTTAATATCAACCGTTGTGAATATCATTACATTTCATCACGGTTTTTGAATACGACCGTGGTAAAATTGTTTACTCATATATAAGCGAATTAGATCATGCTTTTTGACAGTATTGTCGTATCTCTCACAACCAAACTTTAGCGCACATTTTATTTCTTCTTCTTCATTAGTAGCCCTCGCTTCATACATAAAAGTATTCTTCTTCTCCCCTGTTCTCTCATTTTCTTGTATGTTGTTGCTATGTTTCACATAATTTTCTTCTTGTTCGAGTGTTTATGGTTTTTTGTTGTATGTTGTTGTAAGTTATTTTGAAAAAGGGTTTCTCTTCTTGTTCATATTTCAGATCCTTCTCTTAACATGAATAGTGGGAGTAACAAACTTATCCACGAGATTCGGGTTACAAAGGGGGTTATTGATATGGTGGAGTTATGGTTGAACAAAGCCAAGGAAGTTGAAGTTGTTATGGATTATATTAGTGTTGTTGAACTGTTTGGTGGAACATGTTATAAGATGATTCTTTTCAAGAATCTTAACCCTGAAAAGATGAAGAAGGTAGAGACTATTATGAATGAACTAATGAATCTGGATGTAACTTATTCTGAATCATATCAAGCCCTTTAGAACTATGAAGACCATGAGAACTGCACGAATTCAACTAGGTATGAAAATTGAATACCTTATTATGTTCACATAATTTGTTGTTGGATGTTATTGTTGACAAGTTTTTGTATGTTGTGGTTGTTATTGCTTGTTATGTTACAATGCACTGCTAGTTTATGTTAACATGCTGCTTTTTTACAAGTTTGCAGTTTTCTCCTCAGTTTCATTCTCCTTTCATTTTACAAGTTTTTCTTAATTTTCCAGGAACGATTAGTTATCATGTTCTCCCATTCTATGTTAATTAAAATTTATGAGTTTGTATTGTTAGTGAGTTTGTTATATCATATGTGAATGCTTGTTTCACTAACCCCTCATTGAACTTGCATTAATTTAAATTGATGTTTGAGGTAATAATCAAAAACATTAAATTATCTTGAAAAATAACATATACGATCCAATGTTTTTCGAATTACATGCATCTTATAATTCATGATTTCCTCTTTAGTTCATAGAATTTGATTCAAAGACATTCATTCAACATTTTTACTTTGAAAAATTTGGGATTGAATCAAATTATATGGGTTAATGAGGAAATTATGAATTACAAGATGCATGCAATTTGAAAAACTTTGGATTGTTTAAGTCGTTTTTCAAGAATAATTTAATTTTTCTAATTATCATCTGAAAAATCTATTTGAATGATTGTATATGGTTAATAAGGGGCAGGAAAAAAATAAGCAATCTCATATTTTATAATAAATTCTTACACATACCACCATGGTTGGAACGTGTAACCGTGGTGAAATATTAAAACGCAAGAATGGCTTTGTTGGAATTGAACTCATGACCAATAAAATATTTCACAGCAATTGTATTTTTTACCCATTGTTATTAGTAGCGCGCTACCTAGCTTATAACCATGGTCACAAGCCTATTGTAGAAACCATCATACATACAATCAACGCTACCTAACAAAGGACGTGCAATCTTCATTATACGTGTTTCACAACCATCATTATATGCATTTTTCGTAGTAGTGGCCCAAGACGAGGGAGCACTATAATGGGATTTTTAGCGCTCTTTTGTAACTTTTTATCCATAATGCACAAAATTTTCAGATGCGGGAAAGTGAAATTTCAAAGAAGAAAATAATTGTTAAACTGAGAAAAATAGTCAAAGAAAAAACAATGTTGACTCTTCAAGAGTTATACGCTAGCATGCAAAAAATAGTCTCTTTCAAATGTGTCAAATCATTAGCACTCAACAGTCAAGTGTTTCGGTTCCCAAGAGTTGTAATGACGGAACTTTCCAAGAAATTGAAATGTTTCCCTTTTTAATCATCCAAACATAAAGACAAGAGTGGTCAATGACTGAGGCTAAAGAAGCAAACACATGCCTTGTTATACAGAGACACGGGCTTAGGGCAACTGTTATAGGCCAACCATATCGACTCTGGTCGACCACTTTGTGGGAACAATAATCCCTCTGAATTCTTCTTAGCACATTAAAATTTTCCTTATGACTATAACAAAAATCTCAACCATAAAACGCATCAAACGTCTCTCCGCGAATCACTCTTAATAAATAGTGGGTTTGCTATTTCCTTTATACTATATATATATAGACAAGGCACCAAATTCAGGTAACTGGTTTCAAACACAATTTGAATTCACTCTTTTTTCTCACATACTAACTTGAGCGTCTCTCTCCACCGCGCCAGATGCTCGGAATCACCATAACTTCTAATCCTCACTCCATGTTTAGTTCTCGAACATAACATATACCATTTGATCTCATTTATCATCAAGCTTCCTCTTTGGTTGATCTGGAACATGTTTATATGCAATTGAACCAAACATTGTTAAATGTCTTACACTTGCCTTGTTTCTTGACCGAAATTCTCGAGATGCGATGTTTTTCAATATCTTTGTTAAACATTTGTTCAAGGCATAAGTATAAATGGACATAACTTACCCTTACAATTCTTATGGATAGTGTTTTCTCAAAAGAATGCTTCTCATCATACTCATAATGGTTTTTTTTTCTTTCTATCAGTAATTCCATTTTATTGAGGTGTGTAGCGTGGAACAACATCATAATTTATTCCTTCTTGATCACTATGCACCAAACTCATTAGATACATACTCACTTATACCATCGATCTTTGTTATCTTGATTTTGTGTTTATTTTGTCTTTCCTTTATAGACTTAAATCTTTTGAATACTTTAAATACTTTACTTTTCTATTTTATCAATTAAGTCCACAACTTTCTACTAAAATTATCAAACAAGGTGACAAAGTATTTGCTACCTTCAATTGAATTTTCCTGAATTGGCTCACGCACAGCAAAGTGCATAATCTCTAGTGTTTATGATCTTGCTTCTTGCATATTTGCTAAAGGTACTTCTATATTGGTTGGATTAGACACGCTCTTGACACACTTTAGTTGGATTTTGAATTGCATGAAGCTCTTTCGTTGTGTCTTGTTTATGCATAAGATCAAATCTTTGAAAATTAATAATTTATACCTATAGTATTAAATCTATTATTCTCTAGAAAAAATATGTAAATTAACAACTAAAAATACTAGGGGTGACTAACATGCATATGTGCTCCGTTTAATCCTGCCTCGCAAACACACACAAAAAAAACATGTTGAAACTGGATAGACGTATTTGAGAGAGTGGATCTAAAACATTAGTTTGTTCCAAAATAAAACATGAGGGTGAGATGGACCCGCGGATACTGTATTTTTTAAGTCTAAAAATGTAAAGTTCTATATTAACATATATATCTACAAAAGGTCGCAAAAATTGGAGACAAGACTGACACATTAGAGAGTGCAAATCTAAAATTTTGTTCTGCTCTAAAAAAATATAGACAAGCTCGATATATCCGACGAGCAAAATCCGTTTTGCCACCCTAAACAAACACTTCAAAAATATTTATAAAAACCTAAATAAAATTTAGGTTTATGAAATCCGCCCTCAAAAACACACTTATATTTTACAAATTTTACATTTTATAAAATTTACATTTAACCAATGGTAGAACACGTTAAGCAAGTAACACCATAGAAGGCTAGAACACTCCATGTGACCGTTATGTTAGTTTTCATTCACACCAAAGAAACATTTTCCCGCCATCTTCTCCGAATTGAGAGAGAGAAAAAGAAGATGATGACGCCATTGATGTTACCCAAGCTCAATCTCATGATTCTTGTATTATGCCTTTTACTCTCTTTCGATCAACACAAACGCACCACCACCAACAACAACACCACTACATTCAATTTCATCAACACCATTCCCTTGCATTCTTTTTCCAGTGGTCCAGTTTCTTTATCAGTAATCAACAATCACTATTCTCAATCACTTCTGCAATATGATTTCTACCGCAATTCGTGTCCCGGCGCTGAACGTATCGTTCGTTCTGCAATTCATTGGCTTCATAAAACGAATCCTTCTTTGATTCCAGCTCTTATTCGTCTTGCTTTTCATGATTGCTTCATTCAAGTACTTTCTTTTTCCCCTTTTTCAATTTATTTTTTCTCATTGTTATTTGGTAAATTCTGGTTCAGCTGTATTTTCTAATTCATGATTCTTGTCTATTCAATAGTTTCTTTTAGGTTTATTCCCGCTTAAATGACCGCACTTAGTATGACTGCTTCCGTAAGTTATTATGTGTGACAGTGTCGTTGTCCGAACCTGACACTGACACTATTGATTAAGTTAGTTTATTTTTATTTTTTAAAATTATTATCGGTTTTAACGTGTCAGTGTGTCGTGTTTCCAGCATCTGTATTTCCGTATTTCAGGTAAATTATATTTTTATAACAAAAGTTCTAATAAAATCAAATTGTTTTCATATAAGCTATAAACTATTTTTCTAAGTTATATTAGAGACTAGAAAGCTTATGGAAATAAGCCAAAAAAAACCTTACAAACATGTCATAAGCTTGTTTGATAAGCTCTCCCATATAGCCTCAAAAGTGGTTATGGTTAGTGTTTCTATGAAAACTGGGTTGCATAAGTAGGTCTTATTTAGTTTTGAATTGCATTGTGTTGATTTGAATTGGGTTTGTATCAGGGGTGTGATGCTTCTATTTTGTTAGATGATGATGATTACATTGATTCAGAGAAAGATTCACCTCCCAATGGAAATCTCAAAGGATTTGATGTAATAGAAACCATAAAATCCAATCTCGAAGAAGCGTGTCCGGGAATTGTTTCTTGTGCTGATATCATTGTACTTGCCGCAAGAGATTGTGTTGTTCTGGTAACATCAGAAATTTTCCCCTCTACATTTTCTTTCTGTCATCACTTTTAAGTATAGATGGTTAAGAGATTAACTTCCATGCACATGTATATGTTGAATATGACTCAGTTTACCGATACAATCAATCTTGTAAACTGAACCGTAGTATTTAAACTTGAATAATAGAAAGGCACCGTAGCTGGTTTGAAGTCAGAGACGTAGGTACAATTGACTGAACAACGTGTGTTCTTGTCCACAAATATCTTATTAGATACAAATGTACCTAATAAATCTTATGTTTAATTTTTAATCGACTTTTGAGCATAATTGAGCATTGTGTATTCTATAGGCTGGTGGTCCATTCTATCCTCCACAAATATCTTATTAGATACAAATGTACCTAATAAATCTTATGTTTAATTTTTAATTGACTTTTGAGCATAATTGAGCATTGTGTATTTTATAGGCTGGTGGTCCATTCTATCCTTTGAATACAGGCAGGAGAGATGGTTCAAACTCTTTTGCTGACATTGCAACAGATGAGCTTCCTTCACCCTATTCCGATTTATCTCAAATCCTTGCAACCTTCAAGTCAAGGGGATTTGATGAAAGAGAAATGGTCACTCTCTTAGGTGCCCACAACGTTGGTGTAATCCACTGCAATTTCTTCAAAAACCGTCTCTATAACTTCAACGGAACTAACGAACCTGACCCTTCTTTGGACACTGAATTTCTAAATGTACTAAGATCAAGATGCAATGAAACTGATGCTTTGTCCACGTCAACATCAGCATATACATCTCCTACCTCACCTTCTTCCTTAATTAAAGAGCAACAGAAAATCACCATGGACTCTGAGAAATCTGTATCAAATTTCAGGATGTATGTCTCACCTTCTTCCTTAATTGAAGAGCAACATGAAATCACTAAGGACTATAAGAAATCTGTATCTAATTTCGGGATGTTATACTATCGCAACCTATTGCACGGTAAGGGAATCCTCTATGCTGATCAGCAGCTAATGGAAGGGGAAAAAACCAAGTATTGGGTTCATGAATATGCGTCTAATCCTAGTTTGTTCCATCAAGATTTTGCCATGGCAATGATGAAACTCTCGGATCTCCAGGTTTTGACAACGCCTATGGGACAGATTCGACGCAGTTGCTCAAAAGTTGCATGACATTGCTGTTAAGAACTGTTTCACATTTTTTTGTATGCATTACATTCTACTTGTTAACTGTAAATTTGTAGCAGCTAGAAACTTTCAAATAATATCATGTTTTCTAACACTCTTACCATGTAACTAAACAATATATAAGTATATTATGTTCCAAGTATCTTTAACAAAAATAGGCAAACAAGAAAGTTAGAGATTCATATATATTATAAGAAAACATTAAGCTCTAAACAATTGAAAAGAAAAATAAAGAAGAAAACTTTAAACAATAGAAACTAAACCAAATACAGTAAATAGTACATCAAACTAGAACATGTTTGCATTGTGATTAAATGATTATCTTTTAAGTAATTGAATTGGAGCAAGTCGTTCCTTTGAGTTTTTGAAGCTGATAGAGGGTTGTGGAACAATAGACTCTGAATTTATTTCATTGAAAAACTTGTCCACAATGTCTAAATAAACCGGACTTTTAAGGCGAGAATAGTAGTGAAGCGCTTCTTCTATGTCTAGTACATGTTCAAGATCACCTGAATCCATCATATCTAATTCCTTCATCTTCTGTGCCAAGACATGAGCTCCCTTTTTCCTCAGTTGTGATTGCGAAGAGCTACTTTTGTTCATCTTTGATTTTTCTGTGACGTCATGAGTACTCTTTTGTGGACTTTGCTTTGCAATACACGTGAAGTTTCCGTTTTTCGCAGCATCTTCCATTGCAGGCTCTTTTGACATTGATTTGGTGTTGTTATTGTTAGCAATCACCTTCATTGTGCTGAGATCAGACTGCAAGAGATCATAGAACTCGTTGTAGAATTGGTCGCTTGTGTAAGTTTTTGCATTGTCAATGTTACAAAGGAATGGACTGAAGGAAAGAGATCTTGGAAGTTTTTGGTATCCTCCAGAGAGAAAAGACCTGAAATTTTTTAGAGTTTTGTGAAAGAAACTTTTGGTCTTGTGAATGGTTTTTCTTACCTGCACCATTTTTGGATATAGTATGAAAGAAACTTTTGGGCTTGTGGCTTTCTCTAAGTGGTTCTGTCTTGTATAGCTGTCATAGTTTTAATCTGGTTTAGTTCTTGTATAATCTCAAAACTTTGTCCTTATTCTGACTCGCAATAAAAGGAGCAAGGTGTTTCATTCTGTCCCTATCAAACTCCCTTTTGCAGCTCGTGGCTATATGATGATATAAATGTTAAGGGGTATGTGTTATTTTTGCTTTTTATTTTATTTTTAATCATAAAAACATCATTAAAGGGTCATTTTCTTCACTGTCATGGTGGTGGTTACTCAGTTAAGATATTTAAAGAAAAGTTTACAAGTTTGAGAATTTTGATGTTGAGTTCTAGTTTAAAAAAGTGTTGTTAAAATGTCAGGCACATTAATATTAGGTGATTAACAGATTCAAACAATAACTTGTTTGCTTGTTATAAGCCAAGTTCAGTTCTAAGAAAAAGAATATAACACACAAGAACACAATGATTTGCTCTCGCTCTGTTCCGCTAGTTATCGCTTTGATATACTACGCTATAGCGTTTGTCCGGTTATCAGCAAATATGTATAGTGATACTATTTAGTGTTCGGTAAATGGTTATATCGGCTGATCTCAAATAAGATTGACTCTGATAAGAGAACAGTTGTAGATTTTAATCCAAAATTAATGCACCTATAAAGCAGATTCAACATACTACTTATAACAGAAAATTCAGTATGCATCAATGAAAATAATTAATGGCACACATTCTATAGTCAGAAATACTTGCTTATCATGTTTGAAAAAAAGGAATGTGTGGTCCACATTCTATAACTATGAGAAGATAGCATTCCATTTACAGCAATGAATGTGACTATAGGACACTTGCCACTGTTTCAATCACTCCATCCACCGCTGTCCTAAATTATGAAGTTAAAGCGACTGCACTTTCAACATAGTGCCATTATTTGTTGCTTTCTTCAAAAATTGTGGCCAGTGGAAAGCTACTCAACTCTGGCTACTGACATTATATTTGGAAGCACAAACATGGATGATAAAGACCAAACAAAATAGGATGTCAGTGATGTGAGGATGTGCAATTATATATAGATGGATTATTTCTTTTGTTTAGGTGTACAATATTGTTTAAATCAGAAGGAAAAAAATGGTTTAAATATAGATATGAGTCTCACAAATATATATTTTTTATAATTTTATTATTTAATATTGAACACTAAAATATCACAGGTCGTATTTACAACCTGCTAGTCTCAGTATGGTCCCGAAATTCATTGTTTATAGTGGTACATTCACAAGATACAAAATCAACTAGTAAATATCTAGAATGTTATGAACATGATATAAGTCAATTGAACCTGTTATACAATTTCTCTTTGTTCTTCCTTTTTGTGAAGTAAAAAATATAAAACCAAACGAGGATGGAGTTATAAATGAACAAGATATAATGGAAAGCATAAATTTACAAGATCTGTTGTGGTGTCTATTAGCAACATGTCTTTTTGAGTTTGAAAAACTGACTCAGCAACCTATGCACTTCCCCATAGTTTTTTGAAGAAACAAGGCGATCTTTTATCCAGTTAGGGAGCTTGGTGGTTGGGTGGTTAAGGCTCCTTTTTGAGGAATCAGATGCATACCTTGTGTCAACCAATAAAATAGCTGCATAGTCATTTATGTGACGAATTGCTCTACCTAAAACAGTAAACAAGCATTTATAAGTGAAATTATTAGTGTAGAAACCAATATATTAAGATTTAGATGGGTAGATGTTCTAGATAACAACTTGGTTTTGTAACAAAACTTAAAAATGGTTTTAAAATAAAATGAAAAAACTTTGATTACATTAGTTTTCTTTAGTATGTGGATTTAGTCTATGCAACTGGCTCAGATAGATGAATGTTATCAAAAGTTTCAAAGATAGAATTGTCATACTCATACAATTTCAAAAATAAAATTGTTGTACTCCTACAATTTCAAAGATAAAATTGTCGTACTCCGACAATTTCAAAGATAAAATTGTCATGCTCCTACAATTTCATAGATTAAATTGGTGATCCACTTTTTTAACAAACAATTTAAACTAGTGAGTGAGATCATATGGAAAAGTAAATTCCATCAACCAATGCTTAACCTCTCGAGAGATTCTACATTCCATAATGTTACCTTTTTGGGTTATTGTATGAACGTACCTATTGATTGATTTACAGCCTTCATGCAGAGATTCTCGTAATACTCTTTTCCCCTGTAACTGCAACTTCTTAATATGCCAAAACCACTTTGTATATCTCCGCCATATACATCATAACTAGCAGAAAGTGAAGGATTTTTAAGGGACTTGGAATTTCTAAAACCATCAATATGCTTTATCCTCTCCAATAACTCAATGTCAGAAGGGCTAGCATATGGCAGACCAACCATGAGTATGCACCGGCCCATTCCATCACTCAAGTTGATCCCTTCAGATAACTTTGCACCAACAACAGCAAGAAGTACTGCACCAGTATGAGATGTTTGATTCACTTCTGAATTCACACTTGATGGAGTATAAATGGTATCTTTGTATTTTTTGAGAACAGTTTCAACATCCATATTGTTTCTAGGCTCTCTAAAGACACGCTTCTTCTTTGTAATCCTTTCAAGGATGCCAGAAGAGTCCCAGTTTTCATAGACTCTACTTTCATAATCAAAAGAAGGGAAGAAAACTACAATTCCTTGGGGAACCACAGTAATCAAGTTGCATAACAAAAGACCTAGTTCTCGCATCTGTAAAGCACAAGATGCAGCGTAATTAGTCATTTTCCACATTTAATTGATTCATATGGTTCCCAAAAGACATAGTTCTCATTCTTTATATATAAAAAATCCATGCATTGTGTTGCATTTCTTTCCTGCAGTTAATCTAAATTCTGGTAAACTATTAAAATCATTTTGGTTCCTCTTTGTCATTTCAAAAATATCAAAATAAAATGTGCATTGATGGTTATGACACTAGTTTCCAGAATTAATATATCAGAAAACTTATATTGAATGAAGAATGGTAGATGAGAGCAATGATATGCTCACCATGTCTGCTGAGCTCCTGGAGCTGTAGCTAAAATCAAAGGAGCGGCCGGTAGGCCCACGGGAAACTGCAATTGGCATAATGCTCTCTGGAGGGACAATATGACCACAAGAAAAGAAATGCAACTGATTTGTTGGTAACGATGGAAAAAGTCTCTCCCTTGTCTCCTCTATTGGCTGAAGTGTTCCCCCGACTAACACAACGGCATGTGTTTCATCTACAATCTATTGAAAGTTTAAAGTTATAATTTTTTTTGTTCATTATTCGTAAGGAAAAAAACTTGCACTATAAAGTCTTTTCTGATTAAGGCAAACCTCGGAGAAAATCTTCTCAGCACTAAGCATAACATATTTAATATACCCTTGACTTTGTTTCCTGAAGCTTGTTGAACTAGACCTGGAAATTATTATCCTTCCATCACTGTCCTTATTTACAAGTGATAGCAACATGTCAGATAATGCCTGGAAAGCAGACTGACAGCTTCCATCTTCACCATGTTCCCCTGCTATATTAAGTGCTGACACCTTCTCCAATGCAGCCATCTTTTCTCCATAGCCACTAACCTGGAAAATCACGTAAGCTTTTACATCAAAATGACGACATAAAATTCAGAAGCAACCAAGTGGCATTCTGTTGTGTCAAAAGAAAATGTAAATATTTAGTGACAATCACCTTGTGCATGATATGACTTTCCTTTATGTACTTTAGCAATTTGACCAAGTTGATATTGTCTATATTTAGTTCAAATAAAAAATCATTGATGGACATAGTAAAATCGACGGCTTTCCTTTCTTCAGAAGCCTGTTCTATATCACGGCGTGAATCTATGAGTTTTCCATCTTTTTCATTAAGTAGTACTCGTAGAAATTCTTGTATGACGACCATCAGAGTTTGAATATATCTCCTATTAGCAGGTCCCAAAAGGTTTCGGAATCTTACAAAGTACCGCTCGACATGGCGATGCACATTTTCTAGCTGTACAAACAAACTATATCATTTAATCTAACAATGATCAAAACTAAGCATCCAAAGCATTGGTATCTACATGAAATAACTCTTTTGATGTCAACACTAATCTAGCAATGAATGGGAAAATCAAAACTAAGCACCCAAAGCATTGGTGTCTAAATGAAATAACTCTTGTGATCTCAACACTAAAGGTTCATTAATTGACCGTTCAATTGATCAAGATTCAAAACTATTCATTTGGTAGGCTTTTCAAATCAATCACCCCAAATTGTCTTATAGCTCATATGATTGGGAAGGCTGGGAATTTGGACAGAGACCTCGAGTTAAAAGGTTATTGAATTTTGGCAGCTGCTTCATCAGTCACTCTCAAATCCCAGAAATTACAAAGTATCCTGATTGCTGATGCAGATGATGGGTTTTATACAAGCTTTCGAAAAAACTAGTAAAGCAACGATAAAGGTATAGATGGAAACGACAGGCATACCTGTGACAGAGTAATTTTAGAGTCATACATGTTGATGAGTGAATCAGCCAAATTATGAGCCTCGTCTATTACAACAATGTTGGATTTCAAATTTAGACCAAGTGCTTCACGAGATGATTTTGATAGAAGAGATTGATATGGTAGGACCACAAGATCAACTTTCTGAACCAAGCTTCTAGATCCATAGTATGGACAAGTTCCCATAGTCCTTCCAAGGTTAACAAGATCTTCAATATCCAAAGGTCCTTGTTGAGATACCTCATTCCTGAATTCTCGTTGCAGTTTATGTTTTCTAAGCATTGGACAGCCAGAGGAGGCCTTTGTTCTGTGCGCTCCTGTACCAACTCTTAAGTTCTGCAAGTAAGAACAAGCGTTGTTCAAGAAACATGAGTGCTAAACTTTCTATTAACTTGATTTTCAATTGTAAAAACTTTTGGTAATGCTAGGCAGTGAGTAGTACTGAGTTAGATACTTAGAAGCTCAATTAGAAATTTAGCATAGAGGTTAGATACTTAGAAGCTCAATTAGAAATTTAGCATAGAGGTTAGATACTTAGAAGCTCAATTAGAAATTTAGCATAGAGGTTAGATACTTAGAAGCTCAATTAGAAATGCATATGGTTTGGTCTTTGTTTATATTTCCAAGTATAATAACCAAATTTTTTCTTTTGGTTATTCAGCCATGCAACACAGACCAACACTTCAATGCTAAATAGGTAAAAGCATCAATAATGAAGGTTTGAATCTGATAAGTTTATCCTGAACAAGTGTTTGGGCAAAAAACTCCTACCTAATAGAGAAATAGCTGGGGAGATGACAAAACACTACGCTCCTCATTAAAAAACAAATAAGACTGAGAATGATGGATTATTTTGAGATAATTTTTTTTATAACATAAATCCTCCTAGCAGAACGAGCAAATGCAGAAGCCATGTCCAAATGGAAAATCAAGCATCCATAAAATCTTGAGCAAAATCTTCTTATTTGATATGAAGAACAAACGCGTGCAAATTCATCTATTTATAACTATGGACAGAGTCAGGCATGCAGAGATGTATCACAAATACCATCCCTAGAATAAAGAGGTGTTAAGTCATTGCCAATATTAAAGGTCTACATGCTTATTTCAAGAGAACAACAATAGATCTTCAGGATCATTTTAAACCATATTCTAGTGTGTAAAAGTTTCTCAGTCAAAAAAAGATTATGGTTCTTCCCTAACAAAAAGTTAGAGTAAGCTTGTAGATGGGTGACTCCGCTTAGTGGAATAAGACTTGGTTGTTATTGTAAGCATGTAGATGTTTATAGAGTAGTTAAACGTGCTTTTGAAGAAAAAAAACTTACATAATACAAGAATCCATCATTTGAACAGCTCATAGTTCTTGTAATATTCTTTTAATATTTATGTTTTCATGAGTGCTAAGAAGTTATCCAAATCAAGCTACCTCAAAGTCTATATTATAAAATACAATCTCCACACACCTTAACTTTTGACACATCGTTTTTCTTTTTCTTTTGGAGTTCCAAGCATCGCTCGTTTATGCCTGCAGAGTTTCCAATTGCAATTACTTCTGTAAAACATTTGAAACAACGTCAGCATAATCAACCAATCAAAAGGAGAACACAAAAGAGCCTTCCAATTTAAGCAAAATTCCAAACCTTTATTAATGCAAAGATTCTTCCTGGAACCTAAACTCACAACTCCCATCTCATCAGCAAACACCGTCCTCCTCAACTCCTTCACGAACTGCGAAAGCTGCGAATGCGTCCTACTACAAAAATAAACCTTAAACCTCTTCTCCTCTTCATCATCCTCATCGTCATCATTAGACTCATCTTCACTCGAAGAACTAAAACTACTTATACTCGCTTTCCTCTTAGACACCACATTACTACCATGAGCTTTCTCATCTTCACTCTCATACTCTTCAAGTAAAAACTCCTCTTCATTATCACCCACTCCATCAATTTTCTTCTTCAAATCACCACTATTACTTCTTTTAACATCACTATCAGATTTTCCTAACACAGTCATAAATTTTTCCTTTTTATTCTTTCTTTTTTCCTCTTTGAATTGCTTATCATTGTTTTTTACTACAAAATCTCTCAGCCAATCAGGTTCATCATCTGAACCTTCACTCTTACCATTCACAGACCCTGCAGCTTTTTCTTCTTCTTCTTCTCGCCGTCTATCGAGTACCCATTGCAAAGCACTGCAGATCACACTCATGGTTTTTCCAGTACCTTTATAGTTACAACACAATCAAAATCTCAATTTTTAATTTTTTGAACTGAAACAAAAATTGAACAAATATATAAATAAATCAACTGAAATTGAATTGAATTGAAAGAAGAGCGAAATCGTACCGGTTGGGCTTTCTAACATGGAGATGCCGCCTTGGTTGAGAGATTGATAGAGTGCGTTCATGAAATCGATTTGGATTGAGTAGGGTTTGAAAGGGAATGCTGAGAATTTAGGGTTTTGTTCTTGTTTCTTAGTGTGATCCATTTTCGATGGTGCTTGGTTACGAAGAAGGATTCAGAATATTAGTGTTAGTAGGGATGTTAATCTTTCTTTTGTTTTTCCTTCAATTTCAATCGAGTTTTCGCGCCATTTTCATGGCGGCTACCCTTTTCATCATACTCTTTTCCTTGATTAATTATTAATTAATTAATTAATTAATTAATTAAAAATAGAGATTTAGATATGCTACCTTATCTCACAAATACATACATACACCAGAGTTTTTTTTTTTTAAATAAAAGTTATTTTATTTATTTAAAAATATATTAATAATTTATTTTAAATCATAAATATAAAATTATGTCATTAATTAATTTTATTAATGTATTAATCACAAAAATTATTAAATATTTATTTTACTTATAACTTCTTAGCTACTTTAATATTTCATTAACTAATAGCATTTTTATTTTTAAAATAATATATTTTTCTTCTATATAAAGCATTAATCCTTGTTGCACACAAACTCATTCCCAAAGAGAAAGAAAGCAAAGAACTCTGAACACAACCAAAATGATGCATACTTTCTATTTTTTCTCAATACTCCTTGTGGCAACGCAAGCAACCATTTACACCGTAACCAACACCGCACTCTCTAGACCCGGTGGCGTTCGTTTCCGTGATCAAATAGGAGAACAATACACCATACAAACCCTAGACTCCGCCTCACAGTTCATATGGACAGTATTACAAGAAAACAATCAAACTGACAGAAAACTCGTGCAGAACGTCACTGTATTCGTGGACCCTGACGCCAGAGGTGTAGTTGCATACACAACTAAACTCACCCATGAAATTCATGTGAGTGCGAGTTACATCGGTAGCTATAAGGGAGATGTGAGAAACGAGATTACAGGAGTGTTGTACCATGAAATGACACACGTTAGGCAGTGGCATGGCAACGGTGAAGCTCCGACTGGATTAACCGAAGGTATAGCAGATTATGTGAGGTTGAAAGCGGGTTTGGTACCTGGTTATTGGGGTAAAGCAGGGGAAGGAGATAGATGGGATGAAGGCTATGAAGTTACTGCTTGGTTTTTGGATTTTTGTGATGGTTTGAGAAACGGGTTTGTGGGAGAGTTGAATAAGATGATGAGAACTGGATACAGTGATCAGTTCTTTGTTAAGCTGCTGGGGAAGACGGTTGTTGAGTTGTTTGCTGAGTATAAGGCACATTAGTACTAGCTTATTGCATGCAAGAATAATCATCTATAGTTCAATTTGAAATTCCATGTTTGTTAGATTGAAAATATTTCTCTGTAAATCAAGAATCTTGGAGTTGTGTGTGTGAAATATAAGAATAAGTTATTGTAATAAATTTGACTGAAATAAAAATTATATGTCTTTAAGTTATAACATAAATTAATTTATTTTATTAAGTTAGAGCCGGAAAAAGCCAAAGAAAATTAGAATGCTTTCTTAGCCATATTTTTAGTAAGATTTCTAATTTTATGCTTATTTTGTCGTTTCTTATTTTAGTGTTATTTTTTACGATAAAACAGAGAATAAATTTGTATTTTTTATATATTTATTTATTTGCCTGTTTAATAACCTATACAAAATGAGTTTCTTTTGCATTTTTTATCAAAAGTGAGAAGAAATCAAAAAGATGATAGTCCCACCAAATTCAATCTTTATATTTTTTTTATTCTTTTAATTAAAATACTAACATTTTAATATTCGAATTTTTTTAAGAATAATCTATTTTTTCAAAAAAAAAAAAAAGTAATCATTTGGTGTTGTTTTCATGCGCCATATCATATGGCTTATGTGATCCCCGAGCCATTTCATATGGCGCATCCCTTTCAAGTTCATGTATATGCGCTATATGAAATGATGTCTTTTCTATTTTTTTTTTTAATTAATTACTTATACTTTTCCTATATATATATATATATATATATATATATATATATATATATATATATATATATATATATATATATATATATATATATATATATATATATATATATATATATATATATATATATATATATATATATATATATATATATATATATATATATATATATATCACCTTGTGTTTGTATTTCTCTACACCGACTTCTCATTTTTCTCTGCACTATATTCTTTTCATATCTCCTTGCATTTTTCAGTTAAAATGACTTCATCTTCTTCCTCTTTTTCCTCTTCGTCATCTTCATATATCTATTAGGTTCCATATATCACCAACAGAAATGTCAATTTAATTTTCTCCCCATTCAAACCTTCAATGAAGATTCGCCTCTGGAATACAATGACGTTAGAATATCTCAAGAAGAGTCTGATCCGCTGGTTAGATGGAGACATTCTAGAGGGTGAAAAGATCAGAAGAATTCAAAGGCTTGTTATCACGTTCAACCAAAATGGAGAAGTTTGTTGATGGAAGAATGTTACTAATGACCAAGATGTTCATACATTGATGTATAGTTCTCAGAAAATTGTCTTGATGGTTGTAATCGCTTAGTTATGTTGTTGTATTTGTTTGTTTTATATTTTTATTGCTTAAGTTATTGTTAATTGTTGCTGTTGAAAGTTATGAAATTAATGGAATGAAAGTTGTTGTTGATATAAAGAGAGACAATGTTACATTAAAACTAACAATGTTACATTAAAATTAAAGTTGTTTATTTAAAAGTGGTGCACTTTTTTTTTAAATTAATGATATATTTCTTCGGTTATATTTAATAAATGATGGATTAAATTATTATATTTTAATATAAAAATACTTGTTAATCAGATTTTACCTTAAATCTAACTTATATGTAGTCGCTCCAAACTTGTACGCATCATACTTTGTGATGGATTGCAAAATATAAATTTTTTTCAATGTTCTTCTATCTTGAACAAAACATTTTTTCTATTCTTGCAATTCATCACAATATAATGGTGTTTATGTTATTATTGTTGTACTTTTGGAATAACATTTTCATGTTGTCAATCAAAGAAAATATTCCTTATTTTATTGATTTTCTAGGTCGACAATATTGAGAAATTTATTTCTAAACATTGTGTAAATTGCAAGCACAATTATCTTGTTCTCTTTTATGTGAAAGCATTTGTCATGAAAATATTTGCTCAAGATAATAAAATCTATCTGGGATTGATTGCAAGAGCAGAAAAAATTATCTTGGTAAAAATGGATAACTTATCAGAAATTTGAAAATATTCGTTGTTCTCCAAGAATCCATTGTCAAAATCTGGATTTGTTTAAACAATTTATCTTAATATTCTATGTAAACAATGTAATTTAAATAAAAAAAAAAAAAATAGGTTTTTTTCCTTGATTTTTTACATAAACTGAGAAGTATGTGACACTTGAGATGAAACATATTTTATTGTATTTTTTATTTTAAAAGAAAAATATTTTACCTCAATTTTGAGTAATAACCGAGAAAAATATAATTGTGTTTATTGAGTTTATCCACCATCCTTAAACAAATCTTTGTTGTTGATTTAATGAGTATCGCTCAAGACATTGTCATTAATGCTCAGCGTAAAACCTAAAACACTTATTATAAAAATATTTTGAATATTAAAATTGATAATGAAACATTTGACATTAAAACTTTGAAACTTAAAAAAAATATTTACTTTATTTGGAAAAAATTTCTCTATGATGAATTGGAAGAGCAGCAAATTATTTGAGTTCAAGGTTTGTGTTCTTAAATATTTATATACATAAATATTTATTTTATTTATCTAATTTTTTTGGTTTTATATCAAAAACAAATGAATGCAAAAGGCATAGAGAATATTTGCATTTAACATTAGATCTTTCTCAAGATCATTGAAGCGAGGATCCCCAACATTTGTTATTTTCCAGGATATACAACATTTGTTCTTCACCGACAACAATGATGATAAATCGGATTCAAAATTTGTTATATATTTTTAATTTAATATTCAATGTATACAATATAATATTCTTTGTAAACAATGTATTTTGTAAGTAAATTAATTTATTAATATACTGTGTAAACAATATAATGAGTATTTAGAAAAAAAGGAATATATCTTTCCATTGGTTTCGGCAATAAACTGAGAGGTGTGTGGAGCTAGTTTTGAAAATATAAGAAATCTATTGTTAGGTATCAAACCAATTACCATTTCAATTATCCCTTCGATTATTCTAAAGTTGGTGGGCAAAGTGGCAGTTTTTCATGACCTCCTTTGTTACCTCGCATTTGTAACTGAAGTTAAATCAACTTTGCAATCGAGGTTAAATATGTTTTTTGTAGTAGTGAAATTATCATATATACATGCATTTGTTTAGATTGTTAGTTAAATAAACCAACATAACAAACTATATTAATTGTATTATTAACTGTACCAGAAATATATGACTAAGTGTACTAATGATACAAGCTTAAGCTAATATACTCCTCAAGTTGGACTATGGATACTAAAAAGTTTTGACTTAGTTAAAATAGAAGACAATGTTGGAGAATGCAATAGTTTTGTGAACACGTCAACTAGTTAAGAGTACTAGAAATGGGCAGCAAATAAATAAGTTTGGAGCGAAGTTTCTCTCGAATCATATGGCAATCCAATTCTATGTGTTTGCTCCCTTTATGAAAAGTAAGATTGTGAGCCAAGTAGATGGTAAACTTGTTATCATAAAAGAATGTTATTGGTTGAGAGAAACTAATTAGGAAATCTTTAAAAGATATAAAAGTCATTGTATCTCATAAGTCAGGGAAGCCAAGGCCCTATACTAAGCTTCAGTCGAGGATTTAGACACTGGATTTTGTTTCTTGGATTTTTAACAAATAATAAATGAACCAAGAATAACATAAAAACCAATAGTAGACTTTCTCGTATTAGGGCACCTCGCCCAATCAGAATAAGCAAAACTATCAAAATTCAAAGCACTAGAAGCTGAAAACAAGATTCCTTTAGCAGAGAAAGATTTAAGATACCTTACGATTATTGTTGTAGCATGGTAATGTGGTAAGAGAGGATGAGAAACATATTGGTTGGAATATTGAATAACATAGGAAATGTCAGGCTTGGTATTTTTCAAATATAGCAATCTTCCAATCAGCCTCCTGTAAGAAGAATAGTCATCTAGTGGTTGACCATATATGGTATATAACTTGAGAGTTGGATCAAAAGGCGCAAAGGATGGTTTGGCTGCAAGAAACCATATGTCCTTAAGGAGTTCAAGTGTGTACTTCCTCTAATTCAAGAAAATGTATTTAGTTTATCAAGCAATCTCAAAGCCTAGAAAAAACCTCAGTTGACCTATATCTTTAATTTTAAACTTATGATCCATAAGATGTTTGACAAGTTGTATTTTCAAAATAGAATTCCAAATTAGGATTATGTCATCAACATAGACTAAAAAACAGTGGAAATATTATTGCTTAATTTTACATACAAGGGATTGTCTATATGTGATTAAGAATATCCCAAAAAGATCAAATAGAAGAAACCTTTGAATACTACTGCATACTTGCTTGTTTTAAACTATATAGTTATTTATTAAGCTTACAAACCTGGGAATAATTTAATGTAGAAAGGCCAGGGGGGAGGTTCTTATAAACCTCTTCACTCAATTCACCATGTAGGAAAGAATTTATGACATCTAACTATTCCAAATGCCAACCTTTGATTGCAATACTAAACAATAACATTATAATTGTATTAATCTTAGCTATTAGAGAAAATGCGTCAAAATAATCAATGCATTCTATTTGAGTGCAACCCTTACTTACCATCTTATCCTTATACCTCTAAATGGAACCATTGGACTTGTATTTGATTTTGTATACCCATCCACAACCAATAAGAACCTTTCCAGGTGGTAGGTTAACCGCAATCCATGTTTAATTTTCTACAAAAGCTTGCAATTCAACATCCATAACATGTTTCCAACAGTCAATCTTAATGGCTTGTTGAAATATTTTGGGTTTAATATTTGAGGATATTGAGCAAAAAAAAATTTATATGTGAGAGAGCACTAGTTGTAAGAAAGGAGAGAAGATAAAGGGCAAACAACATTATATTATAATGTGGAAGAGGCAGAGTAGCAATGATAATTAACTAATTAACTAAGAGGATGACAAGCTCTTGTGGAGTGTCTTGAAGGTAATAAGTAAACACCTTCATAAGTTTGAGAAAGAATATTAATGGCATTGGGAATAAGAGCAGAGTTATTGATTAAAGGCTGA